GGGATATTTTAGTCGCTGTAATTCATTTCAGCCACATGCTAATCAGCTCGAGTGGTGTTCAACTGTCAATTGTCAAATTCATTAATCTATCATCATCACTGTCTGTTAATTTCAGTTGTTTGACAGGATCATACTGATTACAAATTATTGCCCATTTTGAAGATAAAATGAAAACATGACATCAGTTGATAAAGTTATTCACTGTTGGATTGAAGCATAATGAGAAGCAGAAACTACTTGAAAGGTGTCAGTCTAGTCAATATAACTACTGGTTCACAACATTCTCTCACATAGTCCATGGTCAGTTACATTGGGGCACATGAATTACTTCTTCTCAAACTACAATGTCCATGAACAATCTTTACTACTTCTAATACTACTGCTTTGATTTTATTAGTAGTGTAAATCTTCCTACTGATGTTTCAGACTTCAAATGATCAGTTTCATTCGGCATATGTGCATCTTGTGCAAAGTACCTTGATATAGCTACTGAAATACAAGCGTTATAGACAGAAATGAATCGTAACTAAGAATGTAATCCAGGATGCGCTGTTCATCTTGTTGTGAACATGTCAGTTGGATGTACCAAAATCTCTGAATGGAAGTTAGATCGCCATAACTCGCTTGATAAATGTCTTTATTTTCAACATTTGATTCACAGAGTGATCCGTTGACCTTGAGATCATATTTAACAACAGGAAAATCCTTGGCTGTGATTGGTTACTGTGTTATTTTATTGTGCTATTTTGTTACTCTCCAAATGACATCTCTATGGTGTATGGATAAACGCAATTTGTGTGCTTGGATTCATTGTGTTTGCTGGGTTGTTTATAGAATACACTTTCTACGCTATATCGAGACTTCTTGTTAGTATTTTTGGGTCAACGGTTCAGAGAAGCCTACCCGGACGCTAGTTCATTGTCTCGTTCTCGTTTATCGACTAAGGTCAACCCGTAATAGTTTTAAGCATACATAGCGACGAGTGTAACAATATTCAGTATAGGTACACTCACTCCCGAAAACGAACTCTGAATCCGCGTTTCATCCTGTTCTCATCTCATCAGTCTGATGAACCGGCATCCCTCAGTATCTTTTTACTTCAAGACTCGAACTTTCTTGATTTCATTCCAAATAGAGATAAGTGAAAGTCAGTAGATTCCCGCGCTCAGTAGCTAAATGGATAAAATGTCGACATTTGAAGCAAATGAAACTGAGTTCGATGATCAGAATGAATGTCAATTCCTAGACGAAGGAAAATTCCACTGAAGATTTCCGAATAGGACGAAATGCTCGTCCTGGGTATCACTGTCAGCCTCTATCCATCTCAGTTTGTAATTATTATAGCCTGCTAAAATATTCGGAAACGTAAATATACAACTGTTCAATCAAAAACAGCTTTAAGACATAGCTTGTTTTCAATATAAGTAGTATTTTGAGTCCAATTCAAAGTTTTTCTGCAGCTTGTGCTTTTTACCCAATTTAAGGTAGCTGGGAGAAATAAGTAACAATATGGTAAGTTTCGATTTGGAAATCAGTTTAAAGTTCGTTTAATATCTTTAGTTACTCAGTTCATATCGATTCAATGCTTTAACGGTGAACTGTAGGATATATTGCAGTGATTACATACCTACTAACTGTCAGTCAGTCAGATGCTACGTAGAACTTCGTACGTAAGTATATCAGTTCATATTGCCATACAGAGATGTACACAGAGATGTCATTGTCAATTCAAATCCAATAGTAGTAGAGGTAGTTAAGGTATTAAAAGTAATCGGAGAGGTTAGGATTAGAAGATATTATTCAAGAATTATGATTCAGTGAGATAAGTTTAGAAAGACAAAACTAGAGATGTTGAGGAATCCAGAAGATTAGGATTTGAGAGAACGCAAAGAATGAATGCACCTGCGCCATTGTAAACGGTTTTGAGCCATGTCATTCAGGGTCTCTAATCACCGATTACTATCATCTCGCGGACCCCAACCAGGTAGTCGACACCTACCGACATGACTCAGTCCACTTGTTAATGACTTCATGGATTGCTGCCATGTTTTGGATCTGGCCACACCTAACTTCCAACTTCCAACCTACTTACTGTCTAGGAGATCGGTTTTCTGAGCTGGATGTTTGGTTGTACAGTTTTCATTGTTCTTCTTCTGAACAACATCATCAGCACAAATTTCAGGTAGAAGTGAACTTTTTGAATTTGTCCAAGTTTGACCAGTAGCTTGTCCTGTTAACCTTGATATTGATTAGTTGCTGTTGACCTTAAGTCTGTCTTTATTCGCACCTTTGTTTTGATTGTATCCCCATTTTGATCCGTTTCTTGATCTTATATCGCCTATGATTTCTCTGATCGATTGATAAATTCGGTCACTGTCGATGTGTTAACATAACAGAGGTTAACAGATCAAGCTACGGATCAAATGTGGAAAGATTCAAACACTTTCCTTCTACCTGAAGATTGTGTTTATGATGCTGTAGTTCAGAAGAAGAACAATGATATTTTCACAAACAAAACATCCCCAACAAGGGAATAAATCTCTACCACACACATCCATCTGAGCTACAAAAATTTTCCCCATCATCTCAATACCTACTAACGGATTAAACTTCTTGTGTAACAAACGGCTGAGTCATAAGCGGAAGGAATATGTATATACTTGAGGCAAACACACATAGACTTCAATCATCTATTCGCAATCGAAAAAACGTTATTGATTATCTTCAATTACTGTCACTCCGATCTTCAAAATACTCTGATCGCACCATGTATTTCTATCTTGCAACACACAGCTCTTTAGTAGAAACTTCTAGACGAGGCTACGCTGCATACTACTTACAAGTTACTATCTAAGTAGCATACATCACACCTAATTTATCATTTCCGGTCAAGCATTTACAGATGAACAAGCAATAATGAGCTTTATTTAACTTCGGTTGGATATTATTGGAAATATTATCTGGAGTAAGAAATCAAACCATTTACATTGAATATTGAACTCTAGTTTTGTAGACAAATAATGTGTTACGCTACATTATGAGTAAAGCTTTTAACTTCCCGTCTGATGAGATTATGAATAGATAGTACTACTTGGTAGTCTGGTTGAATATCTATGTTACCTGGATCCTAACATGAAAGTACTTCAACTTGACTCCTCATTACCGCCATCGTAAAGGTGCGGTTTAACTAAGAGTAAGGAAATTTGATGAAAATTTAACTGTTCATCCATGTTGTAGTCAGATCTCGGGCGTTTAAAATGTCTATTCTTCGCAAGATCTATTTTGGCGCGTATATATATAATTTAACAAGACACAGAAGCGTATTAACCAAGGCGGCACTAAGGTAGCTGACAAACACGAAAACTTGTTTGAATGTTCCATGCTGAAGAGTTCGATTATATTATACTGAATGAAAGCATTATTCATTAAAGAGTTATGGAGTTGAAGTCATGAATCAATCATTGTTAGACTACCATTAGAAACCCGGCCGTTTCATTCTGGATGAATCAGAGTTAAACATTAACACCATTGGGTGCCGGCCCAGTGGTTCAGAGGTTAAGCGTTCGCACACAATGCCAAAGGTCCCGGGTTCGAATCCTGCGAGGTGCAGGAGTCATGGTTGCGCACTGCCACTGATGAGTTCCATACCAGGAAAAAAAGGCCGTCTTTCAGTGCTTCCAGGTTTCTAATGGTGGTCTAACAATTATTGAGTGATGATTTCAAATGCTCAAAAACAATGATGTCCATAACCGTAATTGAAAATATCATATTTGTCGGGTGTAGGCTGTAATTACCAAAGACACTGGATGAGGTAACGCAAAAACCTTTGGTTAATCAGAGTTAGTCACTAGCCTAGTGGTCTAGAGATTAAATGTTTGCGCGCACGTCGAAGGTTATAGGTTCATTTCCAGCGAGTAGCGGCATTCGAGGACGAAATGGCTGTCTAGTACTTTCAAGTTTGTAATGATAGTCCAACAGTGATTGATTCTTCATTTCCATTAATAATTCTATTATAATTACTAAGCTGTTCAATAATTACACAACACAACTGTTCAATCCTACATTATTTCAAATGATCAGGTAGTTTGTATCATTCATTCTTGGCATGAACATGGATTATACTGAATGAATTACAATTTGCACGTCAATTTTCAATTTAAAATATACACAGGAAAATTAAAACATGATTGTAAAGAATTATAAAACCAAAAAGTCAGTACACCAATTAACGAATTCATTGTATTCATTATTCAATATTTATATGCGCGATATTTTCAAATCCTTTGTTTAATGTTCAAAATTTTGTTTGAATCATACAAGTTAACTCAAGTTAATTATCATGTCAAAAATGTGTAACTTAACAATCTTCACAATCCTGTAATGCAAATTACCTGTGCTCAACAGGTGACTAGCTTCGTGAGGAATCTTCTCTGAGTTCTAGTGGGAAGACATCGTGACCAGTGAAGTTCAACTTGTTCGGATGTAGGCAGTCACTACTACCGAAGACTGTGAATGAGGTTGCGCAACTCCATGAATTTGATCAAGTTAGACATTAACACGATTGGATACCGGCTCAGTGGTCTAACGGTTAGGGCGTTCGAGCACAATACCGAAGGTCCTGGGTTCGAATCCTGCGGGGTACAGGAGTCGTGGATGCGCACTGCCACTGGTGAGTCCCATACCAGGACGAAACGGCCGTCTTTCAGTGCTTCCAGGTTTCTAATGATGGTCTAACATTGGTTGATTCATGGTTTCAAAAATGTGTAATTTAAAAATATGTATGTATGTAGTGCGCACGTATTAAGTCATTAATTAGTCAATGAAATATTGAACAAGTTCATTATAAGCTGATAATTATGTCATTAAGTAAGTAAGTAAGTAATCCGCTTATCACATACTAAATAAAAACATACTAATCAGAGCTAAATGCACTCGTGACTACAGAATAGACACACACATATATATATACACATGTATTTAGAAATGATGAAATACAGTCAGTCACTTTGTGTCATTGGAGAACATTAATCAATACAATTTGTTAATAAATTTATAAGTATGTTTTGGATTTTTTCATGAATAATATGCGTGTATTCGTTTTTGATAATTTTATTGTGCACGTTTGATTGACTTCTTATTGATCAGAAGTTTAAGATGATAGTTGTGGTAGGGTATGGCTGATAAATTGTGAATTTGGGAAGACTCAAACTAGTCGTAGCTTACTGGTTAACGTGATATAACATGTAATGCTGACAAGTACTGAATCGGAGTTTTGAAATGAACTATAAGTGAGATATGTAAGTACAACTGGTTGTAGATATGCATTACGGGGTTGTTGTGAAGATTGTTAAGTTACACATTTTTGAAACCATGAATCGATCAATGTTAGATCACCATTAGAAACCTGGAAGCACTGGATGATGGCCGTTTCATCTTGGTATGGGACTCATCAGTGACAGTGCGCATCGACGACTCCTGCACCCCGCAGGATTTGAACCCAGGACCTTCGGTATTGTGCGCAAACGCCCTAACCGTTAGACCACTGAGCCGGTATCCAACGGTGCAGGAGTCGTGGATGCGCACTGCTGAGGAGTCCCATACCAGGAAGAAACGGCCGTCCAGTGCTTCTAGGTTTCTAATGGTGGTCTAACATTGATCGATTCATGGTTTCAAAAATGGTTGTAGATAAGTTTGAAATGAGACGAAAAACGCATTCTGGATTTCCCTTCCTAGACATTGTTCATTTCTGCTTACAGATATGTATTGATTGAATGAACGTTTTTGTCTTTCAAAGATTTTATTTGTATGTTTATTTCTAAAAAACCTGAATTTAAGTTGATTGGTTTTGTCATTCAGTATCAAATTCAGCAGGGTAAAATCGTATTGTCTGAAGTCACACGATGGTTATAGACCGTCAAAAACACGTCCACAGAATGAATTGTGTATTGAATGTAACTGCATCTATTCAGCTTCATAGATTGACTTGAATTTAACACCAACTTTTTCAATGTTCATTCATATATAATCTTCTGAGTATCAATTGTTCAATGCACATAACTTGTCATTGTGAATATTTTAAGAATGGAAAAAAACATGTAAGGAACAAATAACCATCAAAATAAAATTCTCCAGAAAAAATAGAAGAATTTAACTAATTTTTTAATTCTAAATAACACAAAACAATCGGATTTCGTTCAATTGTCAATCATGTTCAATATTCAATTGAATAAATTCGATGACTTTTTCGTTAAAAAAAACTGCATTTGACAGATGAATAAAATTGTTGATTGAAGCATCCATTATTCATATTGATTGAAGTTTATGTCACAGAAATGTAAATTTGATCTCATTTGGGAAATTTATATCTCTAATTCAAATTCTCACTATACTTACTTACTTACTTACGCCTGTTACCCCCAATGGAGCATAGGCCGCCCACCAGTTTTCTCCAACCAACTCTGTCCTAGGCTTCCCTCTCCAGTTCTGTCCAATGTTTGTTCATTCTTCACACGTCTTTCTGTATTTCTCGGTGTTATGTGTTCCTTGGCCTTCATCTTTTCCTTTTACTTTAAGGATTCCATGTGAGGGCTTGTCTTGTGACGCAGTTAGGTGCTTTTTGTAGTCTGTGTCCTATCCACTTCCATCGCTTCTTCTTGGTTTCCTCCTCCACTGGAATCTGGTTTGTTCTCTCCCACAGTTCGTTGTTGCTGATGGTGAAGTATTTTGCGTAGAAAACTGTTAATAAACACTTGTATCTTCTGGATGATGGCTTTGGTAGTTCTCCAAGTTTCCGCTCCATACAGTAGAACTGTCTTGACATATGTATTAAAAATCCTGATTTTGGTTTTGGTTGAAAGTTGTTTGGATTTCCAGATATTTTTCAACCGTAGAAATGCAGCTCTTGCTTTGCCAATCCGCGCCCTCACATCTGCATTTTATACACCTTTCTCATTGATGATGCTGCCCAGATATGTAAAGGTGTTAACGTCTTCCAAGGCATCTTGATCAAGATTGATTTGGTTGGTGCATGTTGTGTTGCGTCGGAGAATTTCGCTTTTTCCTTTATGTATGTTGAGACCTACTACTGCGGAGGCTGCTGCTACACTGTTCGTCTTCTCTTGCATTTGTTGTTGTGTGTGCGATAGAAGAGCCAGGTCATTCGCGAAGTCCAGATCGTCCAGCTGCTTCCTAACTGTCCAGTTGATGCCGCGCTTCCCTCCAGATGTCAACGTCTTCATAATCCAGTCAATCACTATAAGTTGTATCATTTTCAAACAGTACTGTTTAGCAGCTCGCACATATATCGATTACAACTTTATTCTTGTAGAGTTTTGTATCATTGTGAATATCCCAAGTTTACTGTAATAACAACTATGAATGCCATTGGTCACACACAAGCAGTAAGAGGTTATGGAGTCATTCATTCTCTCTTCCTCTCTCTCTATCTAGATCTCAGTCTCTCACACTCTCCTATTCTATTCATTTATTATAACATGTAATCATTGTTATTTATTAATTTGTAAACAGTGTGTTTATAACGAAAATTACAGAGTTACTCAGTAAAATTGGAAAACCATATCGTAAATCGTTCATTTGCAAAATATCAGTTCATCATATCGAACTAGACTGTTCCTGTTGAAAAACATCAATCCCTTGTCACTATTCATGCGTTTCATACAAATTCCATTGTGTTCCAACTCTTCCTTTCTTGATCTTCCCCCATCTTCTACTGCCAGACATTACCTTGACACTCACGTCATATACTACTTATAAGTAGCTCGCACCACAGAAGTACTTCATTTGTATTCATCAATAAACAAATAACCCATTATTGAACTCAGGATCTTTAGGATGCGCATAACACTTAGATCATTAACTTGAGATAAACTGGTTTACAACTCTATTCAGTAGGTAATTAATTAACTTACACTTGAAAGGGTAACACATTACTGATCCCCTACAGAACTGAGGTCATTATAACTGAATGATTACTGAGTAGTGACAAATGTTGTAATTGTCTAATCCTTAACTCTAAGTGAATGATGTGAGATAGAATTTGAAGCGAATTGTATTGAATTTGAGTCGTGGAGAAAAACATCAACTTTGAGATCCACAAACCAACAACGGTCTAATCCAATACATTCTCGAATCATAGATAAATTCATAATATTTGACTGGAATATGTTAAATTTGTCCTAAGTGTTGAACTAATATCCACATGAATAGACTCAAGTAGTCTCAGGATGTAATAGATACATCTGGCTGATGAGTCCCATGTAGGACGAAACGCGTTTCCTTGACTCCACTGCTTGCCGCATTCTATCTATCTTAATGAAGATGGTTTTGTTTATTTTTGCTGACAGATTTTTATATTATGAGTAGTATGTAAACGATTTAATAAGCATATATCACTGAATTCCTATAGTTTTGACACTTGAACAGTTTCCATAACACATTAAAGATGATTTGAGTTTCTATTATGCTTTACTTCACATTAGGTTACCTATATTTAGCTAGATAATTAATCTAACAACTTTATTCAATCATTGTTAGACAACCATTCGAAATGTAGGAGCACTGAACCACTCTTTCTTTTTGATATGTGACTCATCACCGGTGCGCATCCACGACTCTCGCTACTCACAGGAGTCGAACCGAGGACCTTGTTGTTAGGGACTGTAGATCCCCAGAACTCACATTGAAAATGTCCAAGTTTTGTAATTTATTCTGAAATTATTAAATTTTCATGTTTTTGCGCCAGAGACGCCTAGTTGACCTTCATCTTACATTCCCCACTGGGAAAATCCTTAACTGTCATTGGTTGACGGATTATTTTGGTACACTCTCACCAAGAGCGTTTTATTAATTGTATAAATAAGCTTGAGTTATGTGCTTGAAAAAGCTCAATGCTTAAACTCTAGACCACTGAGTTGAAATCCGACGATTTCAATCTGCAACTTTGATCGATTCATAGTCTTGCGCAACCTCATCCACTATCTTCGGTAAGCACTGATTCAAACTACTTCGAAAACAGTTGAAACAGATATTTTGACTTTACTTAAAATCCAAACCCTTTTTTTTATAAACTAAATTTAAACAGGTCTCCATGAATCATTGTTTTTTTCAGAGAAGGATGTTGTTAACCACATAGTTAAGCAATGTTTACAACTAGTTCACACTTTATCATCTAAATATAGAATGAATAAGTTTATTCAATGTTATTGTTGTGTTAACCTACATATGACCTTGTGTAGTAGTGGAACGACTAACTGATGATAACTTTCAATATGACACCAAATCAATAGTTGACTCTGTTAGTGACATTTTAAAAAACAACGTTGAAAAAGATTTCATCTAAAATAGAAAACCATTGCTCTCTGTGTATGTCTCTTTGCATTTGGTTAGAAGTCTTATTCATAAAACAAGAGTTGTAGTATTAATTGTCAGAAATTGATTTTTTTGCTTTTTACTGATTTACAACATATTTTCAACTAAACTCAACTACATTAAATTGGACATTGACAATGTTTGTTTTGTTTTTAAGAGTTTTGTTGAGTTGATATTAAAAGTTCAATTAGATCAGCAAAACAAAATATTTTCACTGATGATGATGATGAAATTATTTTGTGAAGGTTAAGCAGTGGCCTTTTCTGTTCGTTTATTGGTCAATTTGTAGAAAAATATTGATTATTGAGAAGTACTGTACTTCTGTTTTGTCCATATATGGAGGTCTACAGTGGTGTTCATTGACTACTTTATATATGGATCATACCTAGCTAGGGCTTTCATGTCGCTTAGTAAACACTTTAACAATGATGTCAGACTAGAGAATCATTATTCAGTGTTTAATATTTCTATCTTTGTTGTGGTGTTTCGTTCTGTGAGCTAGATTTTACGGTTGTCGAGCTTTCGTTGTTTTTCTGTGGAACAACAACATCATCAGCACAAACTTTAGATAGAACAAGTGAAGTATTCAAAGTTTGTCCACTTTTGACTTGTAGCCTGTTCTGCTAACCTTGATCTTGATTGGTTGCTGTTGACTTTAAACCTGTCATT